ATATATATAATCAGCAAGTAAGACAAATCTAAGTATTTAGAATATGATTTTTAACAACTAATTAAAGAATTGAAATAACAAAAGGTTAAATATCTATAAATATTGTGCATTAGTTGAAATAGACCAAAGAGGAAGAAGCTAATTATCTATAACGTTTTCTGTAGTGTTTCATTTTTTATTCTTAAATAACAAATAGTGGAGATTTTGGAGCATCACTCAAGAGACTCAAATCCTTTCTCACATAATTTAATCTGCATAATGTGCTTTATGGATAATTTCTCATAAACAAAATGAGCACTAACTATATCATCACAGTATTTCCCTTATCTACTTACTGAATATTGTTTTTCTGTACAATTTATTTTTTGTTTTCTCCCTTGCTAGTGCTCTTTTTAATGATTAATGAATAAATTTAATGAAAACGTTACCTGGGACAAGTTTATGGTAATATTGAGGACATGAATCTCCAGGCCACTTTACTTTCTTTTCTCCACCAGAAGCATTGATGTTGAAGTACCCTGCTCCAAAGGCTAGAGAGAGTCCAATACTAGCTTTGCAATGAAGCTCCAGGAGAGTTTCATGTATAGTTTCATACAGTTCCATGGACAGTATTCATACAGTTTCATCCAGCCATTTCCTGTGTAATGTTGCCTTCTGAAAGGGCCTAAAAATCTGAGTCTGCCAGTTGGTTTAAAGCCCCAATGTGGGCATGTCATACTGGAGATGATGAATGGACTGATATAAGACTATATCTCTACTTTGTGTGTATATCTTAAAGAGTAGTGGTAGTCCAGTGGTTAAAATGCAGTATTGCAGGCTAATTCTGCTGACTGCTGATTGCCAGAAGTTTGGCAGTTTGATCCTGACAGGCTCAAAGTTGATTCAGCCTTCCATCCTTCTGAGATTGGTAAACTTTTTTGGGGGACAATATGCTGACTCTGTAAATTGCTTAGAGAGGGTTGTAAATACGTGGTATATAAGGCTAAGTGCTGTTGTTATCTTGTTTCTTTTCTTACCATCTTTCTTAATTTTACATCTATGTTAATATTTATTATTTTAACAGTTTAATGTTTATCTTGTTGCTTTTATTTGGTTATAGTCACTTAGAGTCACCTCTAGGCAAGATGGATGGCATATAAATTTAATAAATAAAAATAATATATAACTCAGCTTAAAGATTTCAATATGTAGGGACACTTCTCTAGGCCCAATGAAGCAAATTTCCTCTATTTAATGAAGTCAAAGCTCACTACCATGAATACAACTACTCACTCTCAGTTAAGGATAACTGTTAAGGTGCAATGTCTAAAATTCTCATGAAGCAGTTTTAAGTTATATTTTCTTTTGGAATTTGAATTGAAGTCCTTCTAAGAAATAATAAAAAATGTATTTCTGTATCTTACATCAACCAAAATTGTCACCATGTAAAAGAATGAAGTCACATATTGTAGGAAGGCTCCCTTCCTAGAATAAAATATTCTTTATTCTTAATATTAAAAAGAAGCAGAATAGAATATTTCCCATGAAGGAGAACAGGCGAGACATCTTCTTAAAGTCAGAAAGCAGCCCCAAACTTCCCGCTATAGGAGAGCAGTCCTCAAGCAGGCTAAAGAGGCTAATATTTAGAAATGGATATTTTATATCCATTCAGAAAGCTGGCCCACTCTATTCATAAGCAAAGAGCAGCCAGAAACTCCAAATAAGCAACACAATAGGCAAGGAGCAGAAACTAACAAGATTAGCTCAGACAAAGAAAACAACTAGGATTTGCATTTTCTTTGCCTGTAAGGCAGCCATGATCCCTACATGGCCCCATAGAAATCTGGCAACAGCCTTTAAAATATTAAAGGAATATTCTTGCACAGGAACAGGCATCTCTATTACAAAGCCCCAAAGATTGTATAAAAGCTCACCTACTCTAAATCCCATTTTGTCAGCACCCCAGAAACATGCTGCTGTCACTAGTTTCTGGCTGCCAAATAAAGAGAAACCTCCTTTCCTGCAGTTTCCCTCCATTTTATTTCCAGCATCTTTCTCCCAGCTTGAACTGGGCCTTATACTTAGAAGTGACACTGCCAAGGACAAGAAAACTATGGTCCTTAGATGTTATCAAGGAAAGGAGTTCTGGGAATTTCCACTCCTGATCTTTATGAATAAATTTTACGAAAAGTTCTTTTTATTTTTTATCTGTGGTACGCATTGGGGATGATGTTTGATGTCTTTGTCCATTCCTGCAACTGACAACACAAACTGAGATCTTGAAGGGGGCAGATCTATGGGATTGTGGACTTGCAACATTATTTGTAAAGACTTCATAAGAAGCTACTTGAAGGAAGAAGAGAGATTCAGCAAAGGCTCTGGAGACAGTGTCTGCATAGTGAATGAAATTGGGAAATATAAATTCTACTTTCTTCTTCTTGAATCTCTTGTCATCAATACCCTCTCAGTGCAGTGAGAAATCAATAGTCTTACAATAGGCTCTAGCCATCCAAATCTTCTGTTCCCCAATTAGGAAGCCTCAGTAGCTAAGGTTAGCTACAGCTCAACATAAATCCTCTTTCATACTCTTTAAATTATTATATTTTCAGGTTAATGTTTTTGCTCTTTTAATTAAAAATACAGTCTTAGAAAACTGAGTGTACTATTTCAGGTTTCCGCCACAAAGATGGTTACTCAGAGATTATCAATTTTACTTCAAGGCTGAAGAAA